TTTTAAGGCAATTTTTAATTTTGGTAATAGCCAAAATGCATAAGAGGCTAAGTGCAGCAGGGCATTACTTGATATTATATCAAGTAATGCCCTGCTCCAGTTGTTATGCCAGTGTTCAGGTCTCTTATAACAGATCCATGCAACCTTACTAGCATTTTTAAATAGTGGTGTTTATTTACTGTTTGTTCTTGTTTAAGAAATATGAAGTACAGTAAACTCCAGCCCTTGTGATTAAGAAAAATAAGCATTTTCTTGATCTGAAGTTGTGACATTCACATCTTTTTTGGTCTTGATGAAGATGCTGTTTTCTATTGCATGCTTTGGCATTTTTCAAGTTCTTACTAGAAGAGTGATGTTTTATTACCTGTAATAACTGTTTAAAAACAACTAATTGTGAAGAAAATCAGATGAAACATCAAGTCTGCTGTTTTTGCTCATCAATCAAAATTCGTGAAACCGTCTTAACAAAATTTTTTTAATCCTAAATTTATTAAAAGCTTCCTTACTGTTTCTCTGTTTAAATTTTTCTGTCTTTAGTTGTATTGACTATTAGACATAACTAAGACATGACACACACTATATTTTTATGTTCTATGAAGTTTTGATTATCCAATTTTTACATCAATTTTCATTTATTTTTCATTAAATCATTTATTCCTTTTAAACACTAGATTTTTTTATGACATAATCACCATGGGCCATTCTTAGCATTTCTATGGTTTCACTAGCATTTTTGTTAATTTAACACAAAACTTGATGTTGCCATTCATTTTCTCTTGGAAAGTAACAAATATATATGCTACATATTTGTTACTTTCAAAGAATGTCCAGTCATATTATCCTGTCTGATTTTGTTATAGTGCAACATTATGCAAATATTTTGGGAATTAAATTGTCACATCATGTTACTATATATTGTACTATATACTACAGTATATTACTTTAAAGGGTAGTCAGTATATAAATAATTAGAAAATATGGAAAAGAATAAGTCTAAAAGGAAGATTGTTTCATACAATGATTAAAATTTTGTACATTCAAGCTTTATCACATTTTTTTATATTTTTATATACTTAAATTCAGTTATTATTTTTGTCTTTTTAAAGAAATTTCAAATGATTTGTGTTTATTTGCATAATTATGAAAACTTACTATGTTTGTGTTAATATCAGGTTTCCCCCTCTCTCTCCTGTCTTTTGCCTTTTTTTTTTTTTATGTAGGGTGTTTCTAAATTATATGTAAAAAAAAGAGTACTAAATGTTTGAAGCAAAACTGAATTGAAAGTGGAGAGAGCTTTACAAATTCCTCTTCATTAACAAGACATTGGCTACTGCTAAATTGAAGTGAGGATGGTCATTTTGAAACAGTTTCTTTGAATGTTTGTCTGCTAATAAAGGTCTCTTATTTTATTGAATTATTGTAGTTTAGTTGCATTTTGTTAAAATGAAAATTTTGACAGAAAAAGCAGAGCTGCTAACTTTGGTGTGTAGTAATAAAGATTTTAATAACAGATATTGACTTTATTCTCCTTCCAATTGCATTTTTTGAAGAAATTTCACTCTAATTGATTTACCGGACTGTACAGTTAAAAAATATTAGTATTATTTTGCAGTTATTATTAAGTTACGCAATGCACAAAATTTAAACATTTAACAAGTGATATCTGGCTAATAAAGTAGAATTGGCAGATTTTTTTTTCTCTGTATTTTATCGATTCAGGTTCACTCAAGAATCTAATAATTTGAGTTTCTGTACTCAAACTCCTGTATGTAGTTTAGTTATAAAAATTACTTGCAGGCTATTTTCTTAATGCTTTTCCACATGATATATGTTAATGTTTTATTTTTCAATCTGATACATACTTTAATTCTTGAATAAATGTAAAATTGATCATTTGATGAAAATTATTTTTGCTTAATTATTGTAATGATGAGTTGGTGATTTTAAACGATTTTCTTTAATGTTACTCTCAAACTAGTATTATTACTGTAATATTGCATAATGTAACGTGTATTTTTTTTAAAATCAGTATAAAGAATTTTTTATCTGTTATTGAAGCTTAGTGATATATTTATAATCTATCCAAGTAATAAATATTTAGAGATCAATTTCTCTGCATAAAGTTTTTTTTAATGGTTTCAATAAAACTAATCTTGATGAAGTAAATATTTAAAAAACTTGGCAGACGGTATTTAATTTTTTAAAATACAAAAATTTGAGAACTTCTTTGCTCTCCTGTTTCTGGGTCGTTGCCTCAAAGGAAAGGTCGTCTCTGCATATAAGAATTCTGCTTTGGACTGTTGCTGGATTAAAGTTCGAAAGGAGATTGAAGTTCACAAAATTTTTGTATTTTAAAAATAAAAAACTAACTTTATTATTTCATATTTTTATAACAAATGTATGTATTTCAGATTATTTGAATTTATTTTAAAAGAAATGCATTTTCCTATTGATTAAATCTTGAGCAATAAAATTTAGATCAGCATGATCATTTAAAAATTTGTAGTCTTAACACAGCTGATTAAGGCAAATTTGTAAAATAATGATGATTCAAATTCTAAGTTTGAAATGAATATCAGATTTTAACTTAGCAAAATGATTCAAAATTACTAGGATAATGTACTAGTGATAGTACTCATTACATTAAAAAATTAATTAATATATATATATATTTTGCAATTTTTAAATTGATAAAATAAACTTATAATTCTAAATCAGCAATAAGTTAGTTTCTTGTACAAAGTGGAAGCAAAAGTGACACAGCAATAAATTCATTCCATGTTCTTATCAACTGGTAATAACTCTTATGTTAGTACTTGATAATGTTGTTTCAAACAGGATTTCATTACCAGGGATATTGGTTAATAATGATTTTTACAGCTCATGATGATTTAGAAGGTTCTGTTCTAAAGTGAATCAAGTCCAAATTAAAATTTCTTACCTACACTGCAGTTGTTTGTAATTTTTCTGCATTCTGTTTGGAAAGATGTACAGTATTATACACTGCATTACCTATACTGAACATATTACCCATCAGGATGTTTTGATTTATAATTAAAATAATTCCTAAGTAACTATCTATCTCTGAAAAATAGTTTGAGAGATTTATGATCATAACTATCAAGAACTGTTTCAATTATTTGTTAGTTGTCAGTATTGACAACTTTTTATTGACAGTTTCTTTAATTTTAAGTGTGAAGTTTATCAAGTAGCTGAATAGTGTATATCTAGGATTAAATTAATACGTTTGTATTTTTATAGCTTACTTAATAAAAAAAATTTTTTTGGTGCTAACTTGATTTGAATGTTCTTTAACTTCTCTGTTAAAAAATTGCTGAATAATCCAGTATTATTTTTCCATGAAGCAATTTTTTTAACTGTTTGCATTTATTTATATCAGGATAAAAATTTAGAAATCTTACTTGCACTGCAGAATAATTGTTTAGTACAATTCTTCAAAAATATTGTAGCATTAAACTAGGAAAACTGTTGATGAATTTGTCTGATATTTAATTTGTATCAATATTATGGATGTATTTAATAAAATTTGTGAATTTCGTACTTTGATGATAATATGAAGTAATTTTCTTACTTATTCTTCAATAATGTGTTAGAATGTTTATGTAAATGTACTCTATTGAACTTGAGAATTCTATAGTACATCATATTTAGTCATATACTCAACCTCAAAACTATAAACTTGATTCTTAAAAGATAGCCTATAAGCTACATTTAATCAATTCAGTAAGTGAATATAATAATTCTACACAGATAAAGTTACGAATTAAGTATCCAATTTAATTTCTATTGTTATATATTATATAATAGACATAGAATATATTTGAAAGATTTTATATTATAACTAAGGTAAAAATGCAGTGTTTTGAAATTTTCGTAATTGTTTTCCAGTCTAAAAATTACGTTAATTTCTTTTATTTACAACTTATTTGTTTTATTTTCAACTAATTTAATTCTTTTTATACATAAACCAGAGTTATAATTTAACGCTACGAACAGATTTTTTTAAATTAAAGTATTATACAAAACTCTCCTTTTCCTTATTAACGTGATTGAAAATGTTAAAGTTCTCATAAACTATTTTTTTCATCAAGTTTGCTAGATTAGATTCATTTGAAATAGTTTCACAGTGGGAAACAGTCGTTTGAATTCCTCACTCGTATTTCAGTTTTGATTTCGAAAACGTTTCCTCAAATTAGAATATTAATTTGTATACTACCGAAAATCTTTCGTAAACAATCTGTAATCTCAGTCATAATTATAAATATATAATAACAGCAGTTTTTAATGATATATTCAAATTTTATAAATTAAAATAAAATAGGTCGCAGTTGGTTCCGAGATCGGATTTCGCGCGGAAATATCTTATTACTAATTAATTAAAAGACTTTCTGGAAGAAGAAGAAGAAAAAATTTATCGTTTAATTATTTGAAAACTCTGATTGTTTTTTTAAAACATACTTAAAGAGCATCTGACCGGTTGTAATGCATTGGTTACTTTTTATTTTCGTTTGACGCCATTATTACGTTTGTTCGTTATAATTGAAAAGCGGAAGTACACCATAGTGCGCATTTAAATTAAGTTTTCCTGTATTGATCGTTATTTATACAGTTATTTATTTTGAGGAGTGTTACATTCCTTTCGTGTAGAATTATTCCGCATATACTGTTTTAAATTAAAACATTTAGAGGATCTAAATGCGTGTTCGATTTTCGATCACTTAGTTTATATATATATATATATAAAAACAGCGTATTTTAAC